GTTTCCATACATGTTTGAACCTTATTTTTTTATGTTTTCTTGAAAGTTTAAGTTTATTTCCTAGGTTTTAATACATGTAGAATTTAATGGTAAAATCCAATTTTCTTAAAACTCAACAGTTTATTTTGAATCCTAAAATTAGACACTTTTTTCACTTAATTTTTTAGGGCCTTAATAAAAAAACCCGCATTTTCCGCGTTTTGACGCGCTTTTGCTGCGGCACAGCACACGCGCATTCCGCTTTTAAACCCGCATTTTTAATTAATTTTTTTTTGCCATTAATTTTGAGTTTTTTTGATGTTTTAAAATTTTTTCCTACACTTTGAAGGGTGTAGAATTTAATGGTAAAGTCCATTTACCATAAAAATGACTTTGATTTTTTTTTTTTTCTGCTTACTCATTTTTTCAATTAATTGTTTGCATGCATGTATGTACCTTATTTTTTATGCTTTTTTGAAATTTTAAAATTATTTCCTAGGTTTCAATGTGTGTAGAATTTAATGGTGCAATCCAATTTTTTTAAAACTCAACGGTTCATTTTTAATACTGAAATTAGACCCATTTTTTCACTTAATTTTTTACAGCTTAATCCTCATCATTTTTTGACATTTTAAATTTATTTCCCACACTTTAAGACATGTAGAAAATGATGGTAACAACCATTTTTCCCCAAAATGAAAAATACATCTTGAATACTGCATTTGACACCATTTTTTTAATTGAATTCTTCACTTTTTCACTCAATTGTTTGCATACACGTGTGTACCTTATTTTTTATGCTTTTTTGTCATTTTAAAGTTTTTTTCATACATTTAAAAGTGTGTAGAATTTAATGGTAACATCCAATTTTCTTAAAACTCAACAGTTCATTTTTAATACTGAAACTAGACACTTTTTTCAATTAATTCTTTACATGTTATTTCCCAATATTTTTTGACATTTTAAGTTTATTTCCCACACTTTAATACATGATAAAAATGATGGTAACAACCATTTTACATAAAAATCAGCGCTTGTTACTGAATACTGCAGTGGACAGGTGTTTTTTAATGTTTTTTTGATTGATTTTTACCGGCCTGATTTTAAGCATTTTTTTTTTATTTTAAATTTATTTCCTACATTTACAAATATTTAGAATTGAATGGTGAAGTCCAATTTCACTCAAAATACAAGCTTCAATCTTAATAGATGAGCGTACCCTGTTTCTTGCATAATTTGTACCATATACAAATTTTATTTGAATGCAAAATGGATACAGCCATCAATTTTGAAACCTTTAAAAGTGTAGGAAATGAGCTTGAAATTCCAAAAAATAAGGATAATTGAGCGTGTAAGAATTAATTCAGGAAACACGTCAAAGGCATTATTCAAGATATAGTTTTCATTTTGATGAAAACTCATTGTTACCATAATTTTATAAATGTTTGAAAGTGTAGGAAATAAACTTAAAATGTCAAAAAATATTGGGAAATAACATGTAAAGAATTAATTGAAAAATATGACTAATTACAGTATCCAGAATGAACCGTTGAGTTTTATGGGAATTGAATTTTACCATTAAGTTTTACACACTTTTAAATGTAGGAAACAACTTTAAAATTTCGAAAAAAGCATAGAAAATAAGGTACACACAGGTATGCAAACAATTAAGTGAAAAAGTGAAGAATTAATTAAAAAAAACGTGTCAAATGCGGCATTCAAGGTATAGTTTTCATTTTGGGGAAAAATGGTTGTTACCATCATTTTCTACATGTCTTAAAGTGTGGGAAATAAATTTAAAATGTCAAAAAATGATGAGAATTAAGCTGTAAAGAATTAAGTGAAAAAATGGGTCTAATTTCAGTATTAAAAATGAACCGTTGAGTTTTAAAAAAATTGGATTGCACCATTAAATTCTACACACATTGAAACCTAGGAAATAATTTTAAAATTTCAAAAAAGCATAAAAAATAAGGTACATACATGCATGCAAACAATTAATTGAAAAAATGAGTAAGCAGAAAAAAAAAAAAATCAAAGTCATTTTTATGGTAAATGGACTTTACCATTAAATTCTACACCCTTCAAAGTGTAGGAAAAAATTTTAAAAAATCAAAAAAACTCGAAATTAATGGCAAAAAAAAATTAATTAAAAATGCGGGTTTAAAAGCGGAATGCGCGTGTGCTGTGCCGCAGCAAAAGCGCGTCAAAACGCGGAAAATGCGGGTTTTTTTATTAAGGCCCATTTTTTACAGCTTAATTTTTATTATTTTTTGATGTTTTAATTTTTTTTCCTACACTTTCAGACATGTATAAAGTTATGGTAAAAATTATTTTGCATCAAAATGCATACTACATCTTGAAAACTGCATTTGACACCATTTATTTTATTTAATTCTTCTCTTTTTAACTTAATTGTTTGCACACATGTGTGTACCTTATTTTTTATGTTTTTTTGAAATTTTAAATTGGTTTCCTAGGTTTTAATACGTGTAGAATTTAATGGTATAATCCAATTTCCATAAAAATCGACGGTTCATGTTTCATACTGAAATTAGATGATTTTTTGAATTAATTCTTTACAAGTTATTTCTCAATATTTTTTGACATTTTAAATTCATTTCCCACAATTTAAGACATGATTAAAATGATGGTAAGAATCATTCTGAATAAAAACCAAGATTGTTATTGAATACTGCGTTTGACATGTTTTTTTGAATGTTTTTGTAATTGCTTTATACCGGCTGGATTTTAATCATTTTTTGAAATTTTAAATTTAATTCCTACATTTGAAAATGTTTAAAATTGAATGGTGAAGTCCAATTTCCCTAAAAATACAAGCTTACATATTAATACAATTAATACATGAGTGTACCCTGTTTCTTGCATAATTTATACAGCATACAAAATTTATTTGAATGCAAAAAGGATACAGCCATCAATTTTGAAACCTTTCAAAATGTAGGAGATGAACTTAATATTCCATAAAATAAGGATAATTAAGTGTGTAAGAATTAATCAAAAAAAAACATGTCAAATGCAACATTCAAGATATAGTTTTCATTTTGATGCAAATTCATTTTTACCATAGTTTTATAAATGTCTGAAAGTGTAGGAAAAGAATTTAAAATGTCAAAAAATAATGAAAATTAAGATGTTAAAAATCAATTGAAAAATATAACTCATTACAGTATTAAAAATGAACCGTTGAGTTTTAAGAAAATTGGATGTTGCCATTAAATTCTAAACACCTTTAAATGGACGAAAAAACTTTAAAATTTTAAAAAATCATAAAAAATAAGGTACACACATGTATGCAAACAATTAAGTGAAAAAGTGAAGAATTAATTAAAAAAACGTGTCAAATGCAGCATTCAAGGTCATCTTGGGGAAAAATGGTTGTTACCACAATTTTTGACATGTCTTAAAGTGTAGGAAATAAATTTCAAATTTCACAAAAGAATGAAAATTAACCTGTAGAAAGTTAAGTGAAAAAATGTGTCTAATTTGAGTATTAAAAATGAACCATTGAGTTTTAAGAAAATTGGATTTTACCATTAAATTATACACGTATTCAAACATAGGAAATAATTTCAAAATTTCAAAAAAGCATTAAAAATAAGGTACAAACATGTTTGCAAACAATTAATTGAGAAATGAGTGAAAAAATAATGAATAATTAAAATTCATTTTTATGGTAAATGGACCTTACCATTAGATTCTACACATTTCAAAATGTAGGAAACAACTTTAGAATTCAAGAAAAACTCCAAAAATAACCCATAAAACATTAATTACAGAATGGTGTGTAAACACACGGAAAAACGGTGTTTTCCAAACGTCAAAACATGGAATCAGTGTGTGCTGCACGCAGAAAAAACCACAGAAAAACAGGAAAAACACAGAAAAAAATTCTTTTTTATTAAGGCCCCTCAGTTAAAAAGACAGTTTACCCCTAAAAATCTCAGTTCAATACAGCTCCTGGTTGAAAGCTGGCTGCCACATGCAACTTGCCACCACTCCTACTGGACCAATTCAGCTCCAAACAGCTCCTGCTTTCTGTAAACCACAAAAGTGTTCAGAATATCCCAGTTCCCCCTCCAAATTCAGCCAATTCAGCTCATAAAAGTTCAAGACAGCTGGAGGCAGCTGGAGGTTCAAGGCAGCCTCAGGCAGCTTGAGGAAGGTTCAGGCAGCTCAAGGCAGCTCCATGCGGCTCCCCAAACCACTGAAAAAAATATTCAGCACAATTCAACCCCAGCACATCATGGCTGCCACATTCAGCTCTAAATAACTCCAGGCAGCTCCTAGCTCCCCAAATCAATGAAAAGAATATCAGCACAATTCATCTCCTGCAAATTCAGGCAGCTTAAGGCAGCTCCCCAAAACACTGAAAAAAATCACATTCAGCTCTAAACAGCTTCAGGCAGCTCCAGGCAGCTCCCAGCCCTTCAAAACACTGAAAAACAAATTTTCTGCACAATTCATCTCCTGAACATCCTTGCTGCCAAATTCAGCTCCAGGCAGCTTCACACAGCTTTAGGCAGCTCCCACCTCCCTACAAAACTGAAAAAAAAAAATTCGGCACAATTCAACCCCTGCACATCATGGCTGCCACATTCAGCTCTAAACAGCTCCAGGCAGCTTCAGACCCGCGCAGCTCCAGGCTGCTTGAGACAGCTCCAGACAGCTTCAGACAGATCCAGGCAGCTTTAGGCAGCTCCAGGCAGCTCCAGGCAGCTTTAGGCAGCTCCCAGCTCCCCACAACACTGCAAAAAAATTCCCCAAAACACTGACAATAAGAATTTTCAGCACAATTCATCTCATCTCCTGCACATCCTGGCTCCCATATTCAGCTCCTGGCAGGATCATCTCCCTCATCATCTCATCTCTGTGATGTTTTTTTTCATACAGACAGCTATCTCGGTTTGGAAATGAAATACAGAAAAATAACCATACTCTTCAGGCTTCCCACAAGTATAACTGAAATTGATGAAAAAAAAAATATCAATTCAATTATTTTACAATTCTTCATTAATTTGGTATTCAACATCCTCTGGTTGTAATATCTCCTCCTGCTGATCCTCCACATTCCCAAAATCAAAAATGACAGAAGATCCTACAACTAGTTTTTCCCATATACTTTGGCAAGCCAAAATTACTCCAGTCCATTTTTCTTTAAGGTTCACATCATCTTGAACTTCATCGATATATTTTTGACTCCAGTCAAGAAGCAGGAAGCAGTGAGAATTCCAAGTCATCCAAACCCGGCAGTGAATTTTGGCTAGTCTGCAGTACACAGACTCAAGCACTTCCCTGGGAAAGTGGTGTTTGGAGCAAATGTTGTTTAAAAGCTGTTGTCCATTGGGGTTGAGTATGTTGGTTTCCGGATCTAAGGTCAAACACACAAATCAGTCAAAATTTCACACATACTGTAACAACTCTGCTTATTTCAAGATGCAGACCTTGGCTCAAAAGTTTGGAAAGATTATCCAAACAGTCTGATTTTTTAATTGCCCAACTGATGGCCTGCCGAGCTTCTCTTGAGATCCTATGCAACTCATCTTTGCAGTGGGTTGATGTAAGGATGGCTTCAATTCCGTCTTTTACGTTGGGATCGAAAGCCCAGGGCTCGTTCGGATGCAATAGTGAACCCATATTCCAAAATACATCATCTAAGCCCATTGACTTCACCTCTTCATAGACCGGAGTTTCCACCATAAAGTCCGTGCTGTAGTTTTCATTATAATGATTTGCTTTTTTGTCGTATGAAGTCCATTTGATTTTCAGATGCTTCATTTTGGAGCTCATTAGCTTCTTGAACCGAGCCTGCATTCGGGTTCCTAGTTAGGGCAAAAGATTCAGCATGTTTTTTACAATTGAAAGGGAAAATAAAACAGTGAACTACCTGATCCTCTTTGATCCCATCTCTTTTGAACTTCACAAACACCTACCTTCGCCTCATATAGCTTTGACTTGCTGATTTTCAACCGGATCAATGCTCTGGCATCTGCATCTGTTTAATCAGCCAGCAGTTGGAATCAGTTCTGATATTTATTTTGAATTCTGCGAAAACCAACTCACTGGAGTTTCCTGGGAGATTTCGGAATGCCTCAGATCCAAGTACTTCAACAAGCATTTCAATATGTTCTTCTAACTGTATAACTGTGTTGGGAAGTAATCGAAGTTTCTCCTGATCTTCCTCAGTTCGAGTTCGCCTCCGCTTAGCCCTGAGTGAAACAAGCTCATCCCTAAAACCAATTAATTCAGTAATTATTAGACATTCAGTAATTAATCAGGAAATAAATACTTACTGAGTCTCTTGGAGTTCATCTTCTACTTCAACCAGTTGTTCGGCGTATTCAATCATCTCTCGTTCGGAATCATTCTCCATGGCTGAAAGCTGACATTCCCTTTGTCGGAGCCACTGTTGAGTCAAGTACTCACTGGTGTAACCATGTTGGTCTTCAATTTCCTTCAATTTCTCCATAGATTTTATGAACAGCTCTTCAACATTTTTACCTCTCTCAAAAAGCAACTTGACTAGAATAATAAATCAATACTCCTTTTGTTTCAGGCGGTTTGAAAATAAATGAGACCAAAATTGACAGACATACCTGAACGACTTTTTCCTACTTCATTGTGATGAGAAGACCTCATATCTAATGCTGTAAGTCGATGCTTCTTGGTTGAGTATCTTAAAGAGCTAATTAGGGGTGATAAATATGCCCATATTCTCTCCAATCCCTCCCCATCTGACATACCCCATCCATTGTTTAGGCGAGGATTATACCGTAGTTGGCATGACCATTGATGAACATACGCATGGAAGACACTTGTTCCAAACATCAACTGGTTACATTGCCGCTCTTCACTAAATAAGTTTCGCTAGAATTTTCACCATTAGATTTCAAGGATATTCAAGAGATATGAATGAGAATTAAGGAAGGAGAGTGTCGTACTTTTACTATTCCCTTTTCAATATTACACCCTATATCATACAAGAAGGCAATTTTTTTCTTATTAACTCCATCAGATGTCGCATCCAAGAGATTTTTTATCATTGTCATTGGGAAATAGGCCCTGCATTCAGAATATTAGCTGGATTGGATTATTATCTCAAAAGAAGGTGCAATGACAAGTGAGTGGAACTAACTTTTCACCACTTTGAACAATGTTGATTAGTCTCAGGATTTGGTCATGCCGACATGCCAATCCAAATAATCCAGTATCATCACAAGCCTTCCATGTGGTCGCCCCGTGTGAATCGTTTGCTGCTGTGTGTTGCTCAGTACAGCGGTCCTGCATTAGAATGTCATTATATGTAAGCAACCTGTATTTAACTGTGGATAAATAGAATACTTGACTCACAAGGCTGACATCGCCGTGATCTGCTTGGTGGTTTACAGTGTTCATACGAGTTTCCATATCCTTGACTTCTTCTGGTGAAATGAAGAGGGGGTTGTGCTGTGATGATTGTGATATCTCGTGGCTTGCTGCAAGATGCCTTCGATGTTGGAAGTTACCATCCATACACACAATATAATCGGGTTCATCGGGTTTTTTCCCAGAGACACAGGGACCGTAGCACTTGGGACAGATGTCAGCCATTTTATCCATTGGATCCATTTGCAAAATTTCTTTGGATATGATTTTTTCCCGTCTGAGCATTTCTCTATACACATCTACAGAAGTTGACAAAGTTTTCCTCCAATCGCGAGTCTATTATATTCCAAAAATTCCAAGGGTTCACATGAGTTTAGGTACCAATCATATTCTTTATGCTAGACTGACTGTATACAATGGGTCCGAATCCATGTCTGCCCCAGAAACAAGAATAAGAGGGTTGTTGGCATCTAGATACTCATCAATTGCCTTTGCAAAGGGGGTGATGGAGACAGCACAATTTTTCCAAATGATGTCGTGTAATCGGAGGAGACGGATAGAGAAAGCAGTTCTGGGAAACTTGGGCGATGTTCCGATGTAACCCATTTGGATCAGCCGGACCTGGTCTACTTGGCAGTCACAAAATTCGACATCGATTTGTCTGCGGCCTGGAAGGATTGAGGTCTAATTAGAATTTGTAATGATATAGGTTTTTTTATCAAGAGATGATGGAAACAGACTTAGAATATCGACTAAAACCAGAGGTCGAGATCGTTTATCCAAACAGGAACACCGGTCCTTCCAGTCTTGCCGCCATTTATCTTCATCACCCCAGTCAGCGGTTTTCACAGCACATTGCTTGAAAGATGAGAACATCGAATCATACACCTCTGCCCAGTGTTTCTCTTCCAGTAAACGCTTTTTCTTGACATGCTCGGCCTGAAAGTGTTGGTGTAGCTGCTGAACTCGGATGTTGAAGGATGAGTTTTCATGATCGGTAAAATTGAAGTGATGGCTAGTGGAATGCTGTTGGTTGTAGTCAAATTCTTGATCCAGTTGGTCGCGATTGGTTTGTTGTTGTTGTAGATCTTCATATTGGTTTCCGGTGTTCTCTGTAGTCGTTCGATTGGCTTGCCCCTCCCCGGTTGACAACATGTGATTTCTTTCAAGTTCAACGGCCTGAGAAAAAGCCACCCCAGCCGTTGTTGTTGGTTTTCGTTTTCATTTTGGTTTTTTACCTCCTTCACCCTCAAATGGTGGCATGCTTAAGGAGAGCAAATTGAGAGTGATTGATTGGGTTTGACAAGAGGCTGGTCTGAGAAAAAATAAATAAGTACTAATCTATCCAGGGACTAAACAAGGTTTACCAACAAGGGCTGAGTATCGGTTTTATGGCTGGGTTCATGGGTAATTTATAGCATTCATCAAAAAACCCAATTTATTTCTCTGAATTTTTAGAAACCTGTCATCTGTTCAAGCTTATGGGATTTTTGATGTTTATAATGATTAATTGACCTTGAACAATTCCCAAACAATCAATATTTTGTTGGTTATCTTGATTCCAAGGCGCCATGGATCCATTGTTTTGTCAATTTCTATGATTGGTGTACTGTGTGGTGGATTAAATCTCATTTGATTTAACCACTGAAATAATTTTTTTTCTCATTTCTAACTCTTCTGGCCTATTAATCAAAAATTGGATATGGAGATATTGGAACATTCTTAGCAATCTTTTCATCTTTACATACAAAGGCCTCATCTTCCCTGATGGCACTTGCATCATGCAAAACTAAAAGTCCTGAGAACTCCATAACCATTTCTTTCACCATAAAGGCACCCACACATTGGTCATTGTGAATGAAGTGTTCTGAGGGTTGGTATTCTTGATCCCTTCCTGTAAGTCTTGTATATCCCATGTAAATCATTTGAAAATCTGAAAATGATTCCTGATAAAAATCTGAAAATAATGCCTGATCAAGCTTGTATCCTACTTGGTGACCAACACAAAACCACCCCTGTTTTACCAATCTAACTGGATCCAAGGAAAGATTTGTGATATATGAATATATCCCCATAAATTTGGAACTGGTTTCCATTACAAGTGGGTCTTCTTCAATTCTTAAGAATGATTGATCAATGTATTACTGAGAATAACAATTTTTATTGTCCAAACTTTCAATTACTTTTATCTCATCATATGAATAGCATTGCCAAACTTAATTCCTTCAATTGAATTTCATTTACTTTTGTTTAAATCTTGGGGATTTTTACCAGATTAATACCAATAGATCTGGCCAGATTTGTGTTGGGTGTTTTGAGAAAGTGTGCAAGAATTTACCTCTCCTTCCACTTCAAAAACATCATTTGGGAATCAAGAAATAAAAATTCCAAATTGAGGGCATTGGGTTTAGCATATGTTTTGTTTGTGTCCCTATTGGTCTGAATGACTTAGACTAGCTTTGGCATAGAAAATCTGATTACAGTGGCCAACTTGATCCTGTGGCTTAATTTCTTGCATAATTGTACTATTTTAGTTTATTTTTGTCCTAAAACAAGGACAATTAGAACTCCCCAATCAGTAGTTTATAAACATTTCACCTGGCTGAGATACAGTCAGGATGGGCAATGTTGTATTGATGTCTTGCTGATAGTTGATCTCCCCTTCTTTGGTTTTCATATCAGGTTTGAGTAAACCTACTTTGCCAAATTCAGAATAATAGCCAGAATACATTGGTCCAATTCACTAATCAAGTTTGTTTCTTAGCAGAATTGGGTGTCTTGTAATTGTTGTACTTTACTACTGTTCAATGATGCCGGAAGATGGTTGGCTGCTGTGGCAACCACAAAGGAAGATGGCCAACTCCCAAAAGTCCAGCCTCTTTGTTTGCCCATTCTGACAACCAAACCACGGGCTCACCGGCCAGCTCCACTCCATTAGATCTTGGTGTATGAAATTTTACATCTATTTCATCTGGCTCCTCAAATGCTGCTCCTGAAAGATGATTGTATGCTTGAAAACATGCATTTACCTTCCTAATTTAAATGTTTCAAATATTGAACCAGCTGTTGTCTACTTGTATCTCTCGGTCAGCAGTGACCTGATGGTTTGTTCGTTTGTTGGAGAACGAGGTGAGAATCCAACAAAGAGAAGAGGGGTTATAAACCGGTGAAGACAGTCTCACTCACTTTGCGTCCTTGTTTTTTTTGTCCGAGATGTCTAGGGATAAACATAATCCGCCTGTCTTCGTCGGACAACAGTCAAATTTATGGACTTGATCGAGTCGAGGAGAGTCTCCCTTTTATGTCGAGAATCACAAATCAATCATCCTTTCAAATGAATAGAAAGGAAAATAAAGATGAAAAGAAAGAAAGACTAACAAAAGGGTCGTTTAATTTATATGAAATCAAGTCGCCTTTAGTATCTGCGGTGATTAAGATAGGAATCTGAGGACGTAGCCTCCGTCTTCGTGTAGTGGAACCTGGTCGGCATGTCTCCAATCTTGTTTCGAGCATTCATACAAATTGATGGTGTCAGTCATCAACCTAAGGGTCAAAATATAATAACGGTTGCGGCATACCATGTCCTCGCAATCTAACTTATGATACTCATCCATGGCTTCCAGCAACTTTCTCTTGCGCTCCTCGGGAGAAAGTCCTTCCAGGTCATCAACTTCCTCGGTGTGGTCGGGGCCTTCTTCTTTCTCTGGCTCCATATTTTGGACAACACCACGTTTCTTCTCAGCTTTTGCCAACCGTTTCATCTTCTTGGATAGCTTTTTCCCCCCAGGTGCCAAGGGATCATAGGCGTCACCACCGGGTTCAAAGTTGATTTCTTCTTGCACGGGAGCTGTGTCTGGAAGGATTTCATCGATTTCAATATCATCGTCCCAGACTGGTTTTCCGTCCGGGTCCTGATTGTAGAAAAACCCAAATCAACATCGAGTTTCAGGGCAAGGCTCAAAGTCAACCCACAGTTTTGCCATAAAAATCGTTATCGAACACCTGTTGCATTCGGCGATCATGACTTTCAGGGTCGAAGTCACTATCCAAATCTATGTCGTCGAGGTTACAATCTAGAACATCGATGAAGTAACATGTCAGTCCTGTTATGTTCCAAAACGTCACGCAAAACATCAAATCAGAGGCTGCTAACCCTCAGCGACAGCGTTTTTTCGGATAATCTCAAGTTTCCTTCAACACCTCATCCTTTTTCCTTTCATTCGTTCGAGTTCTTCCATACGCTGTTGCTTTTCTTCATCTTTCCTAGCTTTCACCGCGTCTCGCCCAAGTTTTCGGCTATCATCTTTACGTCTAGCCGAAGGACCTGTGTCTCGAGCATGTGTCGTGACTGTAGGATTGGGACTATGTAAGAAATTCATTTTGTAAGTTGAGCTATATCTCGGGGGTACAAAAAAAAGATAAGCTTTTGAACTTGCTCTTCGAACCGAAAGTTGTAATTTGTCTCGAACTCTTCCGCTTTTTTGACAAACTCTTCATCAGATGAGAACGATAACATGAGAGAGTTGTATTGAAGCTGCTGACTTCAAGGATGGTAAAAATGGATTCATAAACAAAGAGAGCATCTTCATCATCATCCGTTGTTGTCATCTTTGAGGTAAAAAAATGAGAGAAAGAAGGGGGGGGCAGATACATGATCTGTTTTGATTTCAATTGAACTTGTACATATTTATGTTGTAGGCGAAAGAAAGAACAAAAAAGAACATTGCGATATAAAAAGGCAAATCCTTGCTAGACAAAGGGTTAGAAACGACAAGGAAGGAAGCAAAGAAGAAATGTAGACAAAGGAGGAAGAGACGATGGTGGAGGTGGACGAGATTCTATGATTTTTTTTTTGAGGTGGAAAGCTTGATGATGCAAGTCGGTATATCATGAGTTCGTGAACACTGAAGCTAAAGAAGATGAGATGAACAATCAAAAGAAAAAGAAAAAAGATGTGGATAAGGAATGGGTTTTTTCTGGAGGGTGTCATTATTAGCAATAGATCGATCAAGCTCTTCTGCTCTTTCATCATCATTCCGATCGAGGGCTGTTGAGGGCGGGTGAGAAGACTCGGAAATTGATGGCCGCCTGTGATCGGTGGGCAAAGAGTCTTGATGGCATAGATGGAAAAGGGGTTGGACCTTCTGTTCTAGTGTTTCTTGCTCGGATCTGTGTTTCTTTTTTTCCCACAATCATTATCAGTCATATTTACTTCTCTGCAAGAGGTCGAAGATATGAAGGAAGAGGTATGGAAGAAGCCCCTTGCACCGGAACAAGTGGAGCAAGTCCAGGCTAAAAACAAAAAAATAGATGTGGACAGAGACGGAGTGGGGGTCAGTTTGAGCCTGACGAGTCATACAAACCACGAGAGAAGGAGAGGAGGATAACATACAAGCCAGAGGGACAAGGCGAATTTTGACTGCTATGTGCCATGAGTCCGGGAGTGGGACCGGCACCCATGCCGCGTTCGTCGAAGATCTGGAGGGTGTAGGTAGCCTCAGCGAAGAGAGGGTAGCCGGGCTGCTGTTGGAGCGCATACATAGGGGTCTGAGGTGAACGCGGTGGCCTGGGCGGCCAAAGAGCACATTATCAGGCATTTGACTCCTTGAGTATGGGGTTGGGGATGATGAGCTGGTATTTGACTGACTGATTGATGAGAGTTTTGATAGCCTGTACTTCTACTTGAGATCGTTTGATCGTCCAATCGGATTTTGAGAATAGCTACAAGAAAAGAAGGTGTGATACAGTCAGCACAATTTTCCGACCTGGTTGATTATTTGACTTTCGATACTTTGGATTCTGTCATGTAAGCCCTTTCACCCCCGTTGCCATCCACACCCACAACCCAAGCGCTTGGTCTCTCAAACTCTCAAACCTTCATCTAGCTCATCAAACTTGGTCCCATTGGCCTCAATCTCCTTCCTCGATCCTGGCCTCAATTGCAGTCAATCAATCTCTTCCTTGGTAAGCTCACACTCTACAGTTTGATCGCTTCATTACTTGGCCAGCTTACTGTACTTCGTCTCTTGGATCCTTGGTCCTCCATCATAGTCTTTCATCTAGCTTCCATACCTATCGGCCTAGATCTCCTTTGTTGATATTGGACCACAACTCGTTCAATCTCTCCTGTCATTGGTACGCTTAATCTACTGTTTCTCTACCTCAATCACTGGGTCCTGACCTGATCTATTGATCAATCACCCTGTCCTTGATACCAGGCAAATCTCGGTCCTCCCTCTTGGTCCAATCTCTCTATCAATCTCAATCAAATATCAATCCAATCTCGGTCCTCTCTCTCAATCCAATCTCGGTCCTCTCTCTCAATCCAATCTTGGTCCTCTCTTGGAAAAACCTCTGACCTCTCTCTTTTCCAATCTCCCTCAATCTTGGTCTGACCTCACAACTGATCCCACTTGATCTTATCTGTAAGCACTCCATCAATCTCATCCATCTCCTCTGGGGCATTATACTTATAGTTGTGAGCCTCTCATCTCATTGATTCTAACATCCCCCGACTGAAATACAACCCGCCAAGCAATCTCATCCTAGCTGGGCTATCACTTGTGAGCATCTTATGATATTCTTATCTAATCAATTGATCTACATATGGAACTCTGACCACTCTTCCGCCCGCTTTTCCTCATTGAAAACCCAACCGCATCCCATTGGACTTGACTGCCAGGCCACAGGAGTGATCAAGGAAGGTATGTGATGGGCTCATCACTCCCAAGTAACCCTCAAAGTCTCACCCACCACTCAAAGTCCCACATTATTGCATGGTGCTGTCGGATGGGGATTGTGGCGTACAGTCCATCCCCATCTGCTACAGTGGGGTAACTTGGCCTTTGGCGTACAGTCAAGGTTGAGTTATTCCTACCAAGTTGATGATGTGTGACTTTGTGGGGTGGGAGGACCCTTCAGACCGCCCAATTGACCCCAGCTTCCCTTTTTAGAATGTCTCTGAAGGGAAATAGGTACACAGACGATGACGTCAAAGTTGTCATGCGCCAAACCAATCGATGGCTGCAAGATCTGCACAACACTTCCGTAGAGCAGGTGGTCGACTTTGATTTATTTGCTGTGTTCATAATGCAGGAAATGGATGATGAGCTTCACATCCGTAAACTTGTCAACATGCTCATTGTTACGTTTTTTGACACTGGAAAGCCACAAACAACTCGGCAAAACCAACTCGTTCAGGCAGCTTTGGTTGTCAGGAAGAAGATCGAGAAGTATGATCTGGAGATCAAAACCAACCCAAGCTATCCAAAGCCGTATTGTCTCAGGTACCCCACGCTTCAAGACGTTCGAGCTAGGTCAGCACATTTGGAAAGTCGATGCATGGTATTGGATGATGAGCAGATGGTGATTTTGCTGGATGAGAATCGGATTTGTGTTGGGATTGGACTTCCGCCTTTTCCCACTAGTCAAGGTAATCCTGTTCATATTTCCCACGAAGTAAGTCAAACGTTGCACTCTCTGAATTAGTCTCTGGAATCTAATTGAATTATCAAAAGACAAGGGCATTAGAGTGTTTACGGGACATGGTTGCCAAGCCAGTCTGCAAGTTAGATGTTGGCCAACTTCCACCCTTTTTTGTTGCCCAAACCCTTGAAGGCTCACCACAAACCCCATTTCCACTGGACGACAAGAACAAAGGGAATTTCCGCACCTGGTGATAGCCCTGAGGCAAGTTTTAGCTATCAAGCATATGGATTTGGCTTGGGTGGCGTAAGTGGTTTCAATAAGTTCAGACTGCCTTTTACCCCACTGACCAATTAAATTGTGTTTGGATGCCAGAAAAAATTGGCCGGCATGCTTGATAAGAAGATTCAGTGCACCACCAAATCAATCAAAACCCATCTGCTCCAGGGGCGAGGATCAAATTCGCCAGATGATGACAAGGAACTTCACCTCCCTAACCCGCTCCGTGAAAACAACAACACTGATGACACTGAAGCTATAGTCAAGTTGCGAAACGAAATGACATTCTATTCTAAGTTATCTGGTGCCATCAACAATGCTTTCTTGCCAAAATCTGTTGCAGTTGCCCAAGCAGCTGTGGATTATCTAAAAGCAGAGGGTAGCGGTCATCTTCAAGAAAATCTGGCTTTGGAAAAAAATGATATTGTTGCTTGTAAGTGTAATGAATCCTTTCTTTGGTAATTTGGTTTAAACTTCTGATCATAAAATGTTTCTCTTCTTTCCAAGCTCGTACTGTTAGTGTGAATACTCAGGTTCATACCCATAGGGACAGGAATAATGCTCTTTTGCTGGATTCAGTTTTCTTCTTTGGGAACCACAGGGGTGGCGAGTTTATTTTGCCATCTTTAGGTGTTGCGTATACTGGTCTTCATGGATACTCTTTTCACGGGCCTTTTCGAATCCTCTACCATGGTGTCGGAAAGTTCTATTTTGATGAGGGGTTGGAGGAGCTACCACAAAGATTCTCGGTTGCAATGTGGAGTCGAGAAAGTTCTTTCACTTCTATTTCCAGGCATTCTGCCTGCCGTGAGGAAGAAAACCAAGTAAGTTTGTTTTGTCTTCCTCAGTCAGCCTACTCATCACAATTTTCTAACATGAATCTATATCCCCAGGTCTATAGCAACTCAGCATATTGGCTACCTCTTTATCCGGAATATGATAGTGAAATGGTCCAAAACCATTTTTTAAATAATCCCAGTGGTGTTAGAGTTCGGACTCGCGAGAAAAAAAGAAATTGGGAAGTTGCATCTGCCCAATTCCAAAAGAAAAAAAAGTGATTTCTTTTCTTTTCCTTTTTTTCCAGAACCAATATTCATTATTTTCACTAAGTTGTATTGCTGGTGAATTCCGAAAGGAAAACTGCATGATCAATTTATCAAGTTTAATTTTCAATCATGAGTTGTTTTTGGAACAAAGAGACACATTATGTTTCATGTGTTTGTTTTTGATCTAGAATATTTAAATCTAAACATTCATTGTATTCAAGCAGACATGACAATTTAATGAATTTGGTAGCAAAAGGGAATCAAAATTATTAATATTGAGGACCAATAAAAATAATTTATGGGTTTAACATTCAAAAGTGAGTGACTAATTAATCAGAATTTTTCTCAATAGTAAAGTGGCCGCTGGCGATGTCAGCTAGCCATTTTTGCCTGGGAATCTTTTTCATCTTATCAAAACCAAGTAAAAGAGATTCCTCGCTTAGTCTTGAACCCTCCGCCCTGACAACTTGTAACTCTGGATCGCTTTCTAAAAGTAAAGCTACTGGGTTTGGTCCCTTCGGAAAAATTGCCTTTTTTGAACCTCGTGCTGCAGCTGAGTCATCTATATGTCATTATTTTTGATCACTTTGAAGTTGAAAAGCAGGAGACACTAACCCAAAAGATCATTGAGTGCATTTAGGAGATTCTTTTTCAATTGGTCTGCATCTCTACCGCTTTCCCCCTCAGGACCATTAGTGATTGCTTCTAGGTTGGCCTGTATTTGTCGACCGTGACTGTAAGCCTCAAACGTTTCTTTAGAATTCCATTCTTTTTGGGCCAAAGCAAGCCAGGCAGCATCGTTTGAGTATTCCTTGCAAAAGCTGTTGAGGCCAGGCGTTCGGGTTGCAGAGAGAAGGTAATAAGTAGTGTTGTACGCATTTGAAACAGTGTACAACTGTTTGGGTATCAGTAACAATAAATCATCAATGCTTCTGTGAATCAACTTTGATATAAAGCACTCACCTCTGAATTCAAGTTCATAATATTTTTGAGAGCTTGCTTGTAGGCCTGGCCAGCATTGTGACCTTCGCTTTCAGGTCCTTTGGCAATAAACGCTTTCACCTTATCGTGGTTGACCAAGTTATTGTAAAGTGGCATGTACAGGCTGATTTCATCCGGAGTTAACAAGCCCCTTCCCTCGTCACCTTCCAGTTCACTATCTTCGTCCTCTACATAGTCATCGTCGTCTTTGTCGTATCCACATGGTATTTTTGAGAAGTGTTGAAATACTCTGGAGCTAAAGACCTCTTTCTCGTCGGCAGTTAGAGAGGCCCAAGCTTTACCCATCTCGCGATTCCTTTGGTCCCAGCCTTCAGAGGTACCTTTTGGTGGAACTTGGATGCAGCAAAATCATGTTGTGATGGTCAAGATTGTGAATGGTTGATTAGAGTTGATCAATCTTGGAAACAAGGCTTACCTGGATGCTTCAGACTTTCAAGGCTAAAGGCAACATAACGATTCCAACCACATTGTTTGCGAGATGGCTTGTTCTCTCCGCTAAAAAATTGAAACATGAAGGCTCAGAAGTGTTTCCCTTGACAATCAAGGAAAAAATAAGCACTTACAGGAATTTGTTAACAGTTTTTTCACCCACATTCCCAATAAGTGCTAGCATTAGTTTGCTTTTGAGATAGTTTTGTTGAAGTAATTGTAAGGCTTCCTGGAAGTCTACTGGAAGTCGATTCGAGGGGTTCTTCTTCTTTTGCAAAGTTCTTCGGAGTTCGTTTACCGACCAACTAGGAAGGTGGCTCCCAAAGTTTTCTAAGGTGAAACCGATCCGAGTGTCGGAGTTGGAGTCGGAGTCAGATGATTCAGAGTCAGATGAGTCAGAGTCAGAGTCGGGATTGGAATTGGTTGGTTTTGATTTTTCAACTTGAGTTTGGGTTCGGGTGGATGGGTGGCTGGGTGAGTGGCTAGTATCTCCAGTTTGTTTGTTTCTTGAAGTTTTTTTTTTTTTGTTGGATATTACCGACTTTTTACCTTGTTTCTTGTTGGCAGTAATGATCCGTTGTTTTTGGTTTATATTGGAGGTTGATATTGATGATTGGGATCGGGTTGATCCTCTTCTTTGAGATGCGCGAGTTGATACCATTTTGGAGTGTTTGACTGAGTTGTTTGAGTGGTTGGAGCTGTCCTGAGTTTTGGGGAGTGTTTGAGATTTTTTGAGTTGGCTCAAGATGGCTACTGGAGGGAGTTGAATGCGGTTGATGGAAGACAAGTTGAGCTTTGGTGCTGTATTGGGTTAGTATGAGGGGGGTCACCAGCAGATGTGTCTCAGTAAGGTTTACAGTTGGGCATGGTCATCGGCAGTGGGAAAGAGCTGTATTGAGTTGCAAAGAGCTGTATTGGTAGAATGTTGTTGGCAGTTTCAAAAGGAGATGAGTTGAGCTGAATCATGGGAGCTGCATTGAGCTGGGTGTGTCAACCATGTTAAGCTGAAATTTTAGTGGGAGCTGTGTTGAGCTGAATTGACTGGTCAAAATTTTCAGTGGAGTGGATTTGAGCTGAATCATGGGGTGGAGCTTTATTGAGCTGGGTGCATCAGCCATGGCTCAAGAGCTTGATTGAGCTGAAATTCTAGTAGGAGCTGTGTTGAGATGAATTTGACTGGTCAAAATTTTCAGTGGAGCGGATTTGAGCTGAATCATGGGGTGGAGCTTTATTGAGCTGGGTGCATCAGCCATGGCTCAAGAGCTGAATTGAGCTGAAATTCTAGTAGGAGCTGTGTTGAGATGAATTTGACTGGTCAAAATTTTCAGTGGAGTGGATTTGAGCTGAATCATGGGGTGGAGCTTTATTGAGCTGGGTGCATCAGCCATGGCTCAAGAGCTGGATTGAGCTGAAATTCTAGTAGGAGCTGTGTTGAGATGAATTTGACTGGTCAAAATTTTCAGTGGAGTGGATTTGAGCTGAATCATGGGGTGGAGCTTTATTGAGCTGGGTGCATCAGCCATGGCTCAAGAGCTGGATTGAGCTGAAATTCTAGTAGGAGCGGTGTTGAGATGAATTTGACTGGTCAAAATTTTCAGTGGAGCGGATTTGAGCTGAATCATGGGGTGGAGCTTTATTGAGCTGGGTACATCAGCCATGGCTCAAGAGCTGGATTGAGCTGAAATTCTAGTAGGAGCTGTGTTGAGATGAATTTGACTGGGGTCACATGGTCTGATTTTTATTACCTCTTAATTTATAAAGCCCCATGGTGGACCCACCTATTAGTTATGCTGCTTTTTTCTTCCATGACCCATCTGTAATTTTCTTATTGGGAGCCTTGAGCTGGTCTGAGACAGCTCAGGCTAGTATCCGGTTCCAAACCTAAGATGTGAACATATTCATCTTCGGTTTGAAACCGAGTTTTTAGATATCCACAGGTGAAATCTTCTCACCATGTCTTCCAGTGTTTGTATCATTCTCTCTGCTAGGCCATCCGTTTGCGGGTGGTAAGCGGTGGAAAAGGACAACTTGGTTCCCAACATACTATGCAGTCCTGTCCAGAATTCTGAAGTGAATTTAGGGTCTCTGTCTGAGATGATTATCCTGGGTATGCCAGTCCTTGGCATGACTCTGTTCCAGAAAAGGACAACAGTGTCCATAGCAGAATCATCTTTGAAGCAAGGTATAAATATTGGTGATTTAGAATATCTGTCTACTATTACTAAACATGCATTAAAGCTGGCTGCACCTCCTGGGGATAGAGATGTTACCCAATCCATATTCACAATGTCCCAAGGCTTGGATGGTTCTTGGATCTTCATAAGCAAACCAAACCTTTTTCCTGTAGCTTTATTTGCTTTCTGGCACCTGTCACATGACATACAATATTCAGAGGTGTCTTTTCTCCAATTTTGCCACCAGGCTGTGTCTTCCACTTTCTCCAGAGTCCTGTCCTCGGAGAAATGGCCAGAGTATACACTGTCATGGCACTCATGTAGAACTACATTGATACTATCCCTGTCAGCAAGAACCAAGACTGAGTTATGTTTTTCCCTGTGATATATAAGACCATCAAACAAGGAGAATCTTCCTTCTGCATAGGATGTCTTCCAAGGTTCTTGTAAGGAATTTTTCAGCGCTGAATCTTTGTTATCCTTTGTGAGTATCTGGGATAAGATGACAGTGTTGTTATTCTTCTGATAACCTTCTTTCACAGTCTCAAAGAATTCATCTTTGAAAGAAGAAACGTGTATGCCCATGATAGGGAATCTATCATCATCCTTATCTTCTGGATCATAAGCAGGGTTGCTGGGGTCATTTGGTAAAGCCCATCTGCTTAAGCCATCAGCATTCTTGTGTATATTCCCATCTCTGTGTTCAATTTCCATGTTGGCTCTGTACTCTTGTATTGCAATTTGCCACCTAAGCATATGCCTGTTAGGGGTTTTCATGTTGAGTAAAGCTCTCAATGCAGTGCAATCTGTTACAACTTTAAAGGAACTACCATCCAGGTAATAGTGCAACTTCTCTACTGCCCACACTAGACACAGGCACTCTAATTGGCTAGCTCCATACCTTGTTTCACTGTCCTTGAGTTGCCTAGAAATGAAAACAATTGGTCCTTCTTTTTTTATTCCATCAATTCTTTGGACTTGATGGAGGGCTGCACCTAGTCCTGTCATACTGGCATCTACATATAAGATGAAGGGGTACTTCCAGTCAGGAAAAAGGAGCAAGGGTGCTGAAGTTAGTTTCTCTCTGAGGAGGTTATAGGCTGCAAGTCTCCTATGGGTCATTTCAAACACAACTTCAATTTTTGTCAGTTCTGTAAGTGGTCTAGCAATGTCTGCAAAGTGCTCAATGTGCTGTCTGTAATATCCAGCAAAACCCAAGAATGATTGGACTTCTTTCTTGCAATTTGGGACTGGTTTTTGCAAAACAGCTGCTACTTTGTTCTGGTCTATTCCTATTGCTATTCCGGACACTACATGACCTAAAGCCTTAATCTGGTTGAAACCAAAATTACATTTTTTCAAGGAGATTTTCATATTCATCTTAATGACAATCTGTAAAATCCTACTGATTCTTATCAAGTGTTCTTCCCAAGTATTTGACATTATGATGATATCATCAATGTAAATGATGACCCACTTTTCGTCTAATTCTCTTCTGAATTCTATGTCCATCATCCTTTGGAAATGAGAGGGGGCATTTTTGATCCCAAAGGGCATTCTCAAATATTCATAGATGCCTTTATGCAGAATAATTCTCCACAAGTGTCTGGAGTCTTCGGCTATCACATTTTGATGGAAACCTTTCAATACATCCATACTAGTCAGGAATTTGGCTCTAGCTAGATTGTTCAGGGTCTCACTGATTTTTGGTATTGGGTACCTGTCTGCTGCTGTGTAAGAATTCAAAGATCTGAAGTCTCCTACCATCCTGGATTTTCCATTGTGCCAGGCTATAATCACGGGAGTAGTAATTTCTACAATTTCATTATGGCCAACTTTCCTCAATACATTCAATCTGACTAACTCTTCTATGTGTTCCTCCAGTGCTTCTCTGCTTTTGGGGCTGGCAGGATAGGGGGCTTTGCGCAGGAGAGGGGGTTAAGGTCTTTCAGTGGTCAAAGTCAAGTGGACTTCATGACCTTTGATGGCACCTAGAGGTTGATCTGTGTTAGCAAAAGCAAGTTTATTTGAGTATAGTACTTCAAACAATTTTTCTTTCTGCTCTTGTGACAGTTGTTCACATATTTTTGACTCTGACAACTCTTCAGAGACAAATTTCTGGAGCATGGGGTCTGTTTTCTTAACTGAAGAGATTTCAGTAGAAAGAGGCATCTTGTCAGTTGCGTGGGATTTAAAACTGAATTTTTTCTTCTTGTTATCATTTCCTATAGTAAAGAATCTTTCTTTGCTGTTGGTGATATCAAAACCATACAAAGACATGTAATCATTTCCTAGGATGAGATAATTGATTCTAGCATTTCTCATGACTACAAATTCAGCTGTTATTCTCATGGATCCTTTGGTATGAGGGAAGATAAGAGGTATCTCTATTATACCTAAGGGTTGTAATTGATCGCTACAACTATGAAATCTGGCGTGGTTAATAGGCATGAGGTCATCTTTTCACAAGGGTTTAATGTGATCTAGGAGGGAGTGGCTAATAATGGAGCAGGAAGCACCACTATCTAGTAAACATGAGAACTCTTTACCATCAATCAAGACACTGGTCAGGTTTGATTTTCCAATCAGGTGGCCCTTTCCTTTGTCAGGTTTACATCTCATTAGTCTAGCATCCTCCACATGGGAACTTTGGCAGTTCCTGTCCCAAGTCTGGGGTTGATGGGACTCAGCTTGTATTTCAGCTATTGAGAACTCATTTGTCAATTCACACTCAACTGCACATTCGTCAAAATTAAAGTTTATCAGGGGGTCTGATGTACCATCATTGTCTAAGGCTAGGATCATATGGTTGTTCTCTTGATTGTCTTCCTCTTTTTCTGATTGGCTTCCCAGGTCATTCCTGTCCTCATCTTCATCCCCTGAATTCAGCTCAATGTTATTGATTCTGCTTCTTTTCCTGGGGCATTCTCTGGAGTAGTGACCTGGTTGTTTACAGAAATGACAAACATCTTTCCCCTTGGTGACTGCGGGAGCAGTAGCAGGAGTTTTCTTTTGATCTGTCTCAGCTTTATTATCTTCAAGCTTGTTTGGCTGATTTCCATTTCTCCAAGAGGATTTAATATTTTGGGATGGGTTACTATATCTAGGTCTGTATTGGCCCATTGCTCTGTCTAGAACTTCCTCTATAATGATAACCATCTCTTCAAAGTTCATATCTTCATCTGCTTTCTTATATCTGCTCTTAACAGCATGTTCCAAGGAACCAGGGCACTGCTCGAGGATCTTTTCACAGACAAGATAATCACTGAGCTCTGGTTGGTATGCTCTGAGTCTTTCTCTCTGAGTGTTGAACCACTTGTGGACTTTTCTATTTTCTATTGAGAAATGATCTTTCTCAAATTCTACTCTCATTTTCCATTTCCAATTATGAGTGCCAAATTTATTCCTAATAGTATTCTTCCACCATGCCCAGGATTTTCTCCCATGTTTGTCTCTGATTCCTATGTACCAATTTTTCGCTGTATCTGTTAGCAGAGCAGTCAACCTACTGATTACCATGTCATCAGTCATGAGGTAGTCTTGGATGAAGACGTCAATGTGCTGCAGCCAAAACTCATGGTTGTATGGTAATTCACCAGAAAAAGTCTCCCATTCACTGGTCTTAGGGATACCTTTCCATAATTGGTTTCTCACCTCAGAGTTTATTTCACCATGATCAATGAAGGGAAAATCTATAAGCCAGGATTCGAGGTTATTATTCTCAAGAGGCTTAGTATCAAATTCACTGGTTACCCTTTTTATTGGTTGGTCTTCCAGTCTTACTGGGGCTTGGGAGTGGGGAACAGGATTTTGAGGCCATTTTTCTCCTTCCAGAGGGGGCTGATTGATTACTTGTTCAGCTTGAGCATTTGACCATGGGTTATTGTACTGAAGGTGAGGCGGAGATTCTGTATACTCAGGCTCAATAATAGAGTTTAACTTACTATTTATTTGTTGCGTGGTGTTGTGCAAATCTCCTAACCTTCTTTTAACTTGTTCAAATCTGTTGTCTCATTAACATTTAAATCAGTTACTTGATTTGAGACATAGTTAAATTTTTCAGACAATTTCTTCTCTAATGCTCCCATTCTATTCATAACTTCTTCTCTCTCAGAATGGTGTAGATTATCTCTTACATACATCACATCTTGTAGATTTTCTATTTTCTTATTCAAGTGATCTTTCAATCCTTCTATGTCACAAGGGCACTGGCAGCAATTGTTACTGGTTCTAATGATATTTCTTTCACTTAGAGATTCAACAACTTTATTCAAGACAGAAGGAATGATTTCATTACTCAGAAGATCAGAAAATGAGTTTTTCACAGAATTATTAAAGTTGGAAAGACAGGACTCCATTAGAGAGTGAGGAATGGATTCCATAGTTCCAGATAATTCAGAGAGAAAGATTGAAAATAAATCTTGTAACCTCTCTTCAATAAGCAGAGGTACATCCTGTGTTAAGTCGTTGTTGATGTTTTTCAAGAAATGTTCCTTCGCTGACGGGTCCAATAGGTGTTCTAGATCAAAATTTTCGGGTGAGTTTACTGGCGGTGTTCCGCTGGGGGTTCTTCTTGTCGAGGGGGTCCTCGTCTCCTGCTTCCTCTTCCCCTCCCTCTGGCATGGTCCCTGAACACTCTGCCGGCGATCCTCTCGGCTCTCATCAAGTATTCCCCTACTTCGAGTAGTCTCGTCGTCTGGTCTTGGGGGCGTCTCCTGTTCCTCCCGGATCCTCTCCAGTTTCCTTGACGTGGGGGGCGAGGGGGCTGTTGAAAACCGTGATTCTGGGCGACTTGCACTTCTTGGTGCTGGGGGGGCGCGTAGTTCTGTACGAACCTCTCTTGTTGAGGTTGTGGGTTGTGGTAGCCTCTCTGTTGATAGTGATTGAGGGGCTGCTGCTGGTAATGTTGCGTCTGTCGCGCAACCTCCGACGGGTGTGGAGTAGACGGTGGCGGGGGTGGAGGTGGCGGGTTTGATTGCTGCTGTACCTGGCCAGTACCCAGGTACGTCACGTCGGAGGACTGGCGTATCGAACGCTGAGGGGCTGGGGATGGGCTGATCGTATGTTGGTGGGCCGTTTGCGTTATAGCTAGGCGTTGGGTCGACCGACTTCGAGTTGCCGCCTCTGACCTCTCTAGATCCGCTAACTCTTCCCTCGCTATCCAGTTTTTGCAAATTCTGAGCATCTCCGCTCCACCAGCTAGTAATCGGATTTCTTCCTGGCTGGATATCGCTTGGACCAGGGCCATTCTCATCAATCGCGTGTTCTGATTTTCTCGAGCTTGGACAAAGGTGTTCCATTGCTCGTTGAAGAGGTGGATTACCGTCTCGAGCTCCTGGTTGTCCACTATGATGTCGTCTAAGCCGAGTGGGGCTGGAGAGGGACTCAAGGCTGAGAATCGGTTCGGATTTGGTAGAAGGGGGGTCGGAGCTAGTATTGACCGACCCGTCACAGTAGTCGAATTGACCGGGAAAACTAGTCTGTCTACGGGGCGAGGTACCGGAGTCGATCGGTTGGACGCGGTCTCTAGCGCTAGGGATGTTGCCCTCGAGTTGATTAAGGCAGGTGAAATTCCTTGCTCCGACCTCGAAGTTTCTGCCGCCTGTGGTCTCGTAGCGGTGTCGGTAACTGATGGCAGACTGGAGCCTAAGCCTTCAAAGCCGCTCGGCTGCAGCGGGGCTGAAGGAGTATCTCTGGTCATCGCCTCGCTGTAATCTAGGAGGTCCGTCTCCTGCTCGGTCCTCTGGTTGTTGCTCACGTTCTCGGCGTTGGAGCTCTTGCTGCTGTTGTTCAAGTGAGATGTTTCGACCATTTCTAAGGTGCGCGCCCATTGTGTTGATGAGATTCAAGGAGATGAGATGTGATAGAGGTAGGAATTCAAAAAGGAAAATTCAAGTTCAGTTATCGCTAATGAAGGATATCTTGAATGCCGTGGAACTTCTATAATCAGAGACAGACCTTTACTTCTCTTTTTGTTTTGTTTCCTTTTAGTTTTTTTCGGTTTGTTAAGGTAGGTTGAGACGTCTGGTGTCCAAACCGGGTATTGGATAGGTTCAGATTCTCGCTGTACGTTTTTCTTTTTCCTAGGGTTTCCTGAAGTGGAGATCGGAGTCCAGGCTTGGGAAGAGACTAGATTTCCGTTCTTAGGGGAGACAGTTCGGTCTGGTTCCGAGAGATCTGAGCCCAATTCTGATCTGGATGAGATCGATGATAGGTCGGACGATTCGGATATAGTCTGGCTGGTTTTCTTCACTTCGCGAACGAGGGTAGGTAGGTTCGATCGAGGAACGCACAAAAGATAAGACGAAAAGGAGGAGCGTTGGTTAACAACGTAATCTTGGTCTGAACGATGAGTATAGGAAGGATTTTCGAGAGCGCTCCGCGATGAAAATCTTAAATTTTGGAGGGCGCTCCGCAATGGAAAATGGAGATATTGGTTTTTGGGAAAACCGGTATATGTGGTTTTGCTCTTTTCCTGAAGAAAGAGAAAAGGAAAAGAGTACGTATGAAAAAAAATTATTAAGAATTTTTTTTTTTTCTTTTTGCCTGATGAATTAAGTTTAGAATTATGATTATGAGAGGTCTTTAGAATAAAATTTTCCCGATGAGGCCCCCAATTGTGAGCCTGGGTCTCAATAGTGACAGCAGGACACAAGAATTTGGGGGGCACTTTTAGATGTATTTCTTGAGAAAAGAGGAATACAAATAAAAGTAGAAAAGGGGGAATGAAAGACTGACAAAAAGAGATAATATTTTTGTTCTTTATTTATTTTGAGAAGATGAATTAAGTTGAGCAGTCTTACTTTCCACTAAGGATGGCTGGTAATAAGCGGAGCTAACTCTGACGCCTCCAAATCAACAGAAACTGAAATGGGATATTGAACTGATAAATCAGATCAATCCACAATTTTTTAGATCAAGGATCAAGGCTCTTTAAAGGGAAACCTATGTAGTTTTCAGTTATACTACCAAACAAAGGAGAATTGAGGTAATAGCAGCTATGGCTTGCTTTCTTGGATCAGGGCTTTGGTTTTGAGGAGTAGAGAAAAGGTTGAGAGAGACTGAGAGAATAAACAAGCAGGAAGATGCTAGCTAAAACTTATGAGAAGTACTTACTAATGACACCAATGTCACTGAGTAGTGGGAAAGGTGGGAAAAGTGGAGTGCTTCTGGTTGATAAGTGATGGCTTGATCAGTTTCTGGGTGTTGGTGTTCTGTGGTGGTCTGGAGTCTGAAAATCCTCTGGAAGCGGAATCAACAAGCTCAGAGAGGATTTTCAAAGTTGGATTATGTAATCTGGCATGTACATGTGGTAGAGGGAGCTGAAACCTAAGGTTGGAATAATTCTTTGAGTACTGTGAATTATTACAAAGTCAATGAAGGAATGGAGTAGGGTAAAAGTGGTCAGTGGTGACTAGGGTTAATTTTACACCAGGAATCCATTTATGAAGTCAGAATGGTTAAAAGTCTTAAGATAAAAAAGATATGATAATATTTTGAATAGAAATGGGCAGTTTTGGCAGTCTTTTGGCCAACTTGGTTGGCTCTAAGGCTGACAAGAATCCATAGTTACTGTTGCGTCAACTGGAGTGGCAGCATTACTGATGCCGGGAGGTCAAACTGCACATTCTGCATTTAAAATACCCGTCAAATTTTCCGCGGAATCGTATTGTACTTTTACTCCAAAGGACAAAATAGGCCAAAATTTGTTCCGAACTCAAGTACTGATATGGGACGAGGCTGTGGCAATGCACAAACATGCTATAGAAACTGTCGACCGAAGTCTTCAAGACTTGATGCAAAACAATCAACCATTTGGGGGCAAAACTGTTATCTTCTCAGGGGATTTTCGACAAACATTGCCAGTAGTCAAGGCTGGTGTTTACCCAAGGTCTGAGGCGTCAACTCTAAAATCATCAAAACTTTGGAACCATATTCAGACTTTCAGCTTGAAAGATAACATTCGCTTAGGATTGGGTCTTGGTATGGAACAGAATCATGCTAACGTGGTGTTTGCTCAAGAATTATTGGAGATCGGTGAAGGAGTAAATCAATCTACAGATACGGCCAAGATTAAAACGAAAAATATAGAAGTCAACGTTCAACAGAAAGCAAGTTGATGTTTCAATCTTGCTATGGGACGAACTTACAAGGACCTTGGCCGAATGATTCATCAAGATTGGAGGAGTTACGCCAAATATTTAGCAGAAAGAATCATCTTAAAACCCTTGAATGCTGATGCCTCAAAGATCAACAACAAATTGGTCCAAAACTTGAAAACACCCGGCATATGTTCAGCTTCAATTGATAAAACAGATGATTCAGGGCCAGGACCAATCTCTGTTGAAGCCTTAAATAAAATTGATTTTCCAGGGTTCCCAAGTCACAAGCTGGAATTGAAAGAAGGGACTCCTGTGGTCTTACTCCGAAATCTCAACATCAAACAAGGACTGTGCAATGGCACTCGAATTGTAATTGAAAATTTAAGTCCTAGAGCGCTAAGTGGTCGAATTTTAAATGGACCCTTCCGAAACCAAGAAGTCCTTATCCCAAAGATTACCCTGTATCATGAGGGAGACTCAACCGTGAAGGTGCCTTTTTATCGATATCAATTTCCTGTTTCCGTGGCCTTTGCCATGACCATAAATAAATGTCAAGGTCAGAGTATGAATCAAGTTTCCTTAGTATTAAATGGACAAGCTTTTGCACATGGGCAGTTATATGTAGGGATTTCACGAGTCAAGGATGTCAACAGTTTATTTGTAACCCAAGTAGGAAGAGATTCAAAATTACTCAATGTTGTGGTGAAGAGTGTAATTAATCAAGGCGGGACAAATGTCATGGAACAAGACGACGTCATGATTCTGGATTAACCTTGTGTTTGTGAATTTGTAATATAAATATGAAGCATAATTAGACAATAAATTGATAGTCCTTGTGTTTAGATTTTATGTCATGCAATAGAATTGAGATAAGATTTCATTAGAATTTGGAACAGGCGGCGCAGCCGCCTTTAGACAATAGTGGAGTTTTATAAAAGAGATGAGAACTTTGAGGAGATATAAGAATGTAAGAATATTTGAAATAAGTGATCTGAGAAGAAAAGAAAGAGAGAATACGGATAGAAGATTGGTCAGTGATTTTATCATCAAACAACAATAACTGGAATATGGGAGACAAAGAAAGAAGGAGAAAAGAAATAACAGAGAGAGAACATAATAAACAACACATTGAAGAGACGTGAATCAATAGCGTGCCCAACTAGAGTTCTTAACAATATGAGAATCAATCTGAAAGAGAGAAAGGAAAGAGGAAGAAGGATTAGGCGCCAAGTGCTCAGAGCAATGGGAAACAGCTGAGACTTTACAGTAACAGTGGGCCACAAGTTACAGCTAACCGTACAACTAAAAAAAGTTACAGAGTGAATACTTAAGTTATCCAGGAAAATTAAATCATCAGGGATTTGTCTTTCCTGTTCCTTGAAGTTGTGTGAGAAATTTTCTTTTTTGGTCAAGTCAATGATTTTTAATTATTAGATGCATGACCAATGATTCAGCTGAAATGTTAGCTGAAAAGTTGGTCATGGACTAATAATTATAAATAAATGACTTGACCAAAAGATTTTTTTTCCACACAACTTCAAGGAACAGGAAAGACCAATCCCTGATGATTTAATTTTCCTGGATAACTGAATTAGTATTCACTCTGTAACTTTTGTTAGTTGTACGATTAGCTGTAACTTGTGGCCCACCGTTGTTTACAGAGATGGGTATTGAGGAAGTGTGGTTGTGATCTTTGTAAAATTTCAGACAACTAAGAGCATTTTATTTCGATCAGACATATGGTCTTATAATGGACAATGACAATATTCACAAGATTTTGATCATAATTTTGTTTTAGCAATGAGAAGAAATGAGAGTGAGAAAAATAAAATTACCTAAGAGCAGAACTGATCGTTTGTGCTTCTTGGCTTGTATTGGTCTACTGTTTCGGTTATGCCGAGAACAGATGGATGCTTTGAGTAGTGTGAGATAAGAGAGATGAAAAAGAGGTTTGTGGCTGAGTAGGAGATAGGGAGAGAGACAAAGATGTTCTAGCGAGTTCAATCAAATATCTAGTTAGCATCGCTGAGTCTTGTTCCTCGTAAAGGATACAAATCATTTACTCAGTCTGATGCTATGGGCTGGCCTTTCCTGGTTCCTATGGTTGGCTTGCGTTTGCTTCTTGTTCGGACTGTGGTCTGTTCGAACATACAATGGATCAGCTATGATCCTTGATCTGTTTCTAGCACTTGTCGATGCGGACTTACTCGTGGTGTTCTTGATTGATTCTAGCGAGTAATTCTGGTCCAGTGGATTGACTAATTCTATGTGCGATTGATCTGTGAACAATGTGCGATGATTAGTTCTGAGGTCTGGGTTCTGGATGAGGAAATGGGCTGCTTATATACTCACGGTGTTGCCGTGCGTCTCTTCTCATCACCATCGTTCTTGGTCTTGTCCTTGGTGGCAGGTTTGCTGTGGCTTCTTCCCCAAGGACTGTGGCTGTTGGTTTCATCACTAGGATCTGAAACAAAAGAGGCTGACGTGAGTTGCAGGTCTTGTATGTTCTGAGTGCTACACGTTTGGGCTTACTTTGTGTTGTCTTGGAGTCAGTTTGGCTTCTGCATCGCTTGGTTGCAGTTTCAGCCCTAGGGGGCTTATTCTGACAATCTTGAGCCTGGAGCCTTGATTTTTGAGTAAGCGGATGGTAGCTGTAAGCAGTGAAACCAAGTATCTTGTTGAGTCTAATGCTTAAAGTGAAGCGTAACGG